TTTCCAGAGCCACCACCAATGCCAGGATCATAAAAGCCTGTTGTGCCACCACCAGTCTCACCAGTAAGATCCTTCCACCCCTGTGAGTGCCTGCTCTGGACCCAGCGCTCACACATGCATACTCTACACACAGGCATGCCTTCCATCCTCTTCTAAGACCTCTCTCCCCCACATATGGGGCGCTTGCCACCACAGCCCCTGCAGTGTGGACAAGCAGTGGGAGAGACTGCAGGAGGAAACACCCAGATCCATATTCTTCCTGTAGTATCCCCTGCCCCTTGGTTGGTTTCCTTAACCTTTCTCTTGCTGCTAATGTACTTATACAAGGCCTTCTTATCACTCACTACTTTCAAGGCCAGCTGCGCTTGGGCTTTGCAATTCCATCCCTGCACACTGGAGTAACATCTCTATATTCCTCCGCCATCACCCATCCCTGCTTCCACCTTCTGTGAACTTCCTTTTCACATCTGAGCTCAGGCAGGAGTCCCCGGTTTGGCCAAGCCAGCCTTCTACTGCCTTCAGAAGCAAGGCAATGAGTAAGATCGCAACCCTGGACTTCAGGAGAGCTAACTTTGGCCTCTTGAGGGACCTACTTAGGGGAATCTCATGGGGTAGGGCCCTTGAAGGAAGGGGCGTCCAGGAGAGCTGGTTAATATTCAGGCATCATCACTTCCTGCAGGCTCAGGACAGGTGCATCCCTCTGAGTAAGGGATGCGAGTATAAAAGAAGTCCAGCAAAGCAGGCAGGAGACCTATGTGGATAAGCAAGGAACTCCTGGCAAAACTCCAACAGAAGAAGGCAGTCTACAGAACATGGAAAAGGGCACAGGCCACTTGGGAGGAATAGAGGGACGTTGTCAGAGTGTGCAGGGATGGAAGGCCATCGCATCCTGTGCGAGAAGGAAGGCCAAGGCCCATTTGGAATTAAATCTGGCAAGGGATGTCAAGGACAACAAGAAGGGCTGCTTCAAATACATCAATAGCAAAAGGAAGACTAGGGAAAACGTGGGCCC